ATTTACATTAATGGCCTACCTGAATGCCTCAAACACTGCAAGTCGATATACTCTATGCTGATGATACACTTCTATACTATTCTGCAGACAATATCTCAGAACTTCAGTCAAAACTCAACTCCGACCTTCAATCCCTCTCCACTTACCTGAAACACAACCTCCTGACACTCAATCATGACAAGACGAAATTTATAATCTTTGCTGGTAGACAACGTTTAAAAACAATTTCTAACCTCAACATCACTATCTACGATCGAAAGATTAATCAAGATCACGCACTGGAATACCTGGGTATCACGATCAGTGAAAATCTCTCTTGGAATGAATATATCGAGAACTTGATGAGCAAGATCAATCAAAGACTTGGAATATTACGCCGAGTCAAACCATTACTACCATTAAATGCAAGATTAGCTTTCTATACCGCTACAATTCTACCGTTATTTGACCACGCAGACATTATTTAGGGTGACAAGAACAACACTGGACTCATAAACAGTTTACAGACTTTGGAAAATAAAGCCGCTAAATTGATTCTAGATCTTCCTCCTCTCTCTTCAGCGACCGAATCCCTCGCTTCCCTTCATTGGTTACCTCTCTCCTCCTGCAGATATAAACATCGCTGTATCTTCATCTACAAATGCACTAATGGACTGTTCGATTTTGACTTTAAACTAACAACTAACAACTGTATTAATTCCTACAATACAAGATCCTGCAACAACCTTCATCTTCCGAAAGCCAACACAAACTGGGGTAAACTTAGACCGACTTACTACGCTTCGATGGACTTCGACAATTTGAACAGCTCAGTTACATGCAAACGTTAGTTCTCTATCTCAATTTAAGACTCAATTAAATCTACTTCGTACGTAGACATAGTTATTGCATGCTTGATATATTTTGAATATATGTGTATATGGGTGTGCACCGTGTCTCTACGTTTTAATTTTGAGCAATATTATCTTAACTTCTGACTTCTGAATCGATTGATTCTTTCCTACCGTTTGAGGCACGTTGCATGCTTACCGACTAAATTAGATTACATTTTTATGAATTATAAATTAATGATCTATGTATACATGTGTATATATGTATGTGTGTATATATGTATGTGTGTGTGTATATGTATATATATATATATATATACATATATATATATATATATATATATATATATATATATATATATATATATATATATATATATATATATATATATATATATATATATATATATATATATATATATATATATATATATATATATATATTATATAAACATATATATATTATATAAACATATATATATATATATATTATATAAACATAAGTGTTATATGGATTTTTTGGCCACTGAGAAAAATCGTATTTAAACACACGTAAAAAATACGATATTTTTACGTGTGAAAATATCATATGTTGTAAAACGCATTGCCACGGACGTTTTATTGTTTTTCACTGAATTTTGTTTATATAATAAACAGAAAAATACATGGGTGCTTGGAAATACCAGATTTATTTCTCGTGTTGAACATGATATCTCACTCGTTCGCTGCGCTCACTCGATCGTGAGATATCATGTTCAACACTCGAAATAATTATAATCTGATATTCCCGCGCACCCATGACCATGTATTATTCTCTATGTAAACAATATACGATTTGACGAGCAATGTATTAATTTGATCGAACCAATGAGTGTTTTGAATAGCTTAAAATACGACTACAAAAGAATACTAATTAATTAGGATGAACAATATTATTATATAATAATACTAACTAGGATGAACAATTATATGCCACATGCATGCATGTGTTTTATCAGATATAAAGTCACTCCATGTGACATATTATGGTTGACATGATTTGCCACAAGGTTTATGAATTATTAATGAGTATTTTAAGGGTCGTTTAACATCTTGTGTATTAGTCACATGAAAGTGCCCCCTGCGTACATTGCTTTTGACAAATTCGTCACATGAAAGTGCCCCCTGCGTACATTGCTTTTGACAAATTCCCGGTTCCACGGAACGCAATTTGCAGAATTCCTGCATCATTATGGCATGGTGACCCATAGCATCAACTTCATGCATTTTGAAAACAGACAGAAAAGCCAAACATTACGTAACATCGAATAAAATTCAAAAGAAACCAAATGAATTGAAATAATTAATGAAGTTGAGAATATACATCCAATGCTATAGTGCTATACTCCAGTAATTCTGCAAGTGGTCTAAATATTCATACGAATATAAAAGCAGAATCTTTGAATGCATGTTTCTAGATGTTCAGAGAATAATTAAATGCATATTTTAAATATTCAGGACCTTTTCACAAACATTAATTGCAAAATATTATATTCTTGACTAGTTCTGCTTCATCATTGGTCATTGTCGCTATACGGAGTCACGTGAGAAAGCGCGCGAATCAGATGGATCAATTAACACTATCATGGAAAGTGCAGGTTGGACTCAAGAGTTAACATTTCAAGGTTTTATAACAAACCTATTATATAAGATTTTGGCAACAGCTTTAGTTACTGCAAAAATGCAGAGACAGTTAATGTTTGCGTTTAATACGCCATGTTATGTTATATAATTATGTTATGTTAATATGTTCATGTATAATAACGAACATGGAAGTTTACCATTTGACTGGATATTTTGCTCCCTCCGCACTCGTACTGCTTTAAAATTTCACGTGACTCCGTATAGCGACAATGACCAATGATGAAGCAGAATGGAAAATTAAACGAGACTTACCTGCAAGGTGAAGTTTGATTTTGGTTCTGCGAATCATTGGTCAAACTTCACGTTACAGGTAAGTCTCGTTTAATATTTCATCTTAACAACTCAGCCTTGAGGAGATTCGAGAAGTGAAAGGCGAATGTTTGTTGTGTCAACTTGAATGCTTAGTCGTTAGAACACATGCATGGTTTTACTACCTAAAGGCTAAACGGTGGCGCCATGGTTTTACTATACTTAATAAAATGTCCTCCAAATAATATTTGAGGCTAGCATAGTTGTGAGCATATTACCTAGGTTTATAATAGCGCTGTTTCCACCTTTCAGTTTCAAGAACTCAGAATCAGGTCATTGCTACATATCATTTAAATAGCTTTCTATAGACTAATTTTATTAAAAGCCTAGACGCCATTATCTTGGAAACATGAGTTTTATAGCATGCCATGGATTCATGGAATCTTCAACTGTGGAAACATATATAAACTACCAATAATACTACCAATAATATACTACTGTACCAATTCACATATAGCTATATCAGTGGGTATTACTATTTTATCAATGCTTTACTATCATGTGAAGTCAAGTCCTTGAATAATTAAATACATTCAGGAAGTCTGTGCAAGACATTTTGTAGCCTGAGTACTTAGCAGGCGCTTTATTTTGTTGAATGTTTTGAGGATTTTTGATAAAAGGATTTCAAAAATCCTCAAAACCTTCAACAAGATAAAGCAACTGCTACGCAGGCTATACATTTCGATGTCGACATAACAACATCTGTGACCAAACAATTACATATGTTGAAATACGTGGGCATGTTTACTTTAGTATATACTGTATATTAAGTATGGCAATATTCAAACAGCTACAACTACACGTTAAAGTTAATAGGGATAGAGCATTTGATAAACATTGGAAGTGTGACGCTTTCAATAAGTTTGTACTAGTGGTGGGCGATACCACTACTAAAGTCGATGAATCGATCGTATACTATATGATCGACAGATTTTTTGCAAATTACAATATCAGATTTCAAATATTGTAAACAGTCGCTATCGCGGCGTTGATTGGCTGGCTGTTGCCGCAAATAGGTGTTTGTTATTTGCATCCCCCCCCCTGACAATCCAAACAGTAAAGGAGGCGCCAAGCAAACGCCGTATCATTTATCGGGCTTTCTTAGGCAGCGTTTACACTGTACCGTTTTCGTAGCGTTCTCGTATTGTTCTGAATCCTCAAGGGAACGCAAGACAATAGTCTAGTTCTCTCGAACAATACAAGAACGCTACGAAAACGGTACAGTGTAAACGCTGCCTAAGTTCCGTAGAATTTTAGTCTCGAAACATTTCGATAAAAATCCATGGGCGTCAATCCTGGAGGGATGGGGGGGGCGGGGACGCGTTTCCCCCAGTATTTGGAGTGGGGGGAGGGACGAATATCTAGTTATCCCCCCCCCCCC